GTGAGTCCGCGCGTGTGCGTCTCCGAGCGCGCGGCGCAGTGAGTGTGTGTGTACAGTACCGTGTGGCGGTAGGTGAGTCCGCGCGTGTGCGTCTCCGAGCGCGCGGCGCAGTGAGTGTGTGTGTACAGTACCGTGTGGCGGTAGGTGAGTCCGCGCGTGTGCGTCTCCGAGCGCGCGGCGCAGTGAGTGTGTGTGTACAGTACCGTGTGGCGGTAGGTGAGTCCGCGCGTGTGCGTCTCCGAGCGCGCGGCGCAGTGAGTGTGTGTGTACAGTACCGTGTGGCGGTAGGTGAGTCCGCGCGTGTGCGTCTCCGAGCGCGCGGCGCAGTGAGTGTGTGTGTACAGTACCGTGTGGCGGTAGGTGAGTCCGCGCGTGTGCGTCTCCGAGCGCGCGGCGCAGTGAGTGTGTGTGTACAGTACCGTGTGGCGGTAGGTGAGTCCGCGCGTGTGCGTCTCCGAGCGCGCGGCGCAGTGAGTGTGTGTGTACAGTACCGTGTGGCGGTAGGTGAGTCCGCGCGTGTGCGTCTCCGAGCGCGCGGCGCAGTGAGTGTGTGTGTACAGTACCGTGTGGCGGTAGGTGAGTCCGCGCGTGTGCGTCTCCGAGCGCGCGGCGCAGTGAGTGTGTGTGTACAGTACCGTGTGGCGGTAGGTGAGTCCGCGCGTGTGCGTCTCCGAGCGCGCGGCGCAGTGAGTGTGTGTGTACAGTACCGTGTGGCGGTAGGTGAGTCCGCGCGTGTGCGTCTCCGAGCGCGCGGCGCAGTGAGTGTGTGTGTACAGTACCGTGTGGCGGTAGGTGAGTCCGCGCGTGTGCGTCTCCGAGCGCGCGGCGCAGTGAGTGTGTGTGTACAGTACCGTGTGGCGGTAGGTGAGTCCGCGCGTGTGCGTCTCCGAGCGCGCGGCGCAGTGAGTGTGTGTGTACAGTACCGTGTGGCGGTAGGTGAGTCCGCGCGTGTGCGTCTCCGAGCGCGCGGCGCAGTGAGTGTGTGTGTACAGTACCGTGTGGCGGTAGGTGAGTCCGCGCGTGTGCGTCTCCGAGCGCGCGGCGCAGTGAGTGTGTGTGTACAGTACCGTGTGGCGGTAGGTGAGTCCGCGCGTGTGCGTCTCCGAGCGCGCGGCGCAGTGAGTGTGTGTGTACAGTACCGTGTGGCGGTAGGTGAGTCCGCGCGTGTGCGTCTCCGAGCGCGCGGCGCAGTGAGTGTGTGTGTACAGTACCGTGTGGCGGTAGGTGAGTCCGCGCGTGTGCGTCTCCGAGCGCGCGGCGCAGTGAGTGTGTGTGTACAGTACCGTGTGGCGGTAGGTGAGTCCGCGCGTGTGCGTCTCCGAGCGCGCGGCGCAGTGAGTGTGTGTGTACAGTACCGTGTGGCGGTAGGTGAGTCCGCGCGTGTGCGTCTCCGAGCGCGCGGCGCAGTGAGTGTGTGTGTACAGTACCGTGTGGCGGTAGGTGAGTCCGCGCGTGTGCGTCTCCGAGCGCGCGGCGCAGTGAGTGTGTGTGTACAGTACCGTGTGGCGGTAGGTGAGTCCGCGCGTGTGCGTCACCGAGCGCGCGGCGCAGTGAGTGTGTGTGTACAGTACCGTGTGGCGGTAGGTGAGTCCGCGCGTGTGCGTCTCCGAGCGCGCGGCGCAGTGAGTGTGTGTGTACAGTACCGTGTGGCGGTAGGTGAGTCCGCGCGTGTGCGTCTCCGAGCGCGCGGCGCAGTGAGTGTGTGTGTACAGTACCGTGTGGCGGTAGGTGAGTCCGCGCGTGTGCGTCTCCGAGCGCGCGGCGCAGTGAGTGTGTGTGTACAGTACCGTGTGGCGGTAGGTGAGTCCGCGCGTGTGCGTCTCCGAGCGCGCGGCGCAGTGAGTGTGTGTGTACAGTACCGTGTGGCGGTAGGTGAGTCCGCGCGTGTGCGTCTCCGAGCGCGCGGCGCAGTGAGTGTGTGTGTACAGTACCGTGTGGCGGTAGGTGAGTCCGCGCGTGTGCGTCTCCGAGCGCGCGGCGCAGTGAGTGTGTGTGTACAGTACCGTGTGGCGGTAGGTGAGTCCGCGCGTGTGCGTCTCCGAGCGCGCGGCGCAGTGAGTGCTCGTGCAGCTCGGCGCCCCTCCACAGCTGCAGCGCGGGGCCGCGCGACACTAGCGCGATGCTGGGCTCTCCGCCAGCCTCGCCCGGCAGCACCACCACGCCTACCAGCTTCTGCAATAGTTTCTAGGCTTGTATCCTATCACTAGAGACGATATTTAATACCACACAGGATACTAAGTATCTTACTGTATCTGCATGAGCCGGCATCGATCCGAAGAACAGCAAGGACACGCGGCGCCCGATGCCACCAAGCCAGCCGCTGGGCGGCCGCAGAGTACGACATGTTACTGTTGCGCGCCCATCTATATGCAACACAGTAAATAAAATTATTATGTGTATACTGTTTCAAGACCTAATCCCTGAAAGGCTGAGAAAGCACTTATTACTCCTTTGGTGTTGTAAAATGTTATATATTACAGCTACTATTTACTACAGAATTAAATACTATACATTACGCCGACGCCTTTCATATAACACGAAATGCCGATCCCGTGAAGCAAGTCAGTTCCACAACCACCAGGGTTGTCTCAAGATAGGAAATCATTCATTTGGTATAATTGGATCCAAAATAGATACGATTTTAATAAATTTCCCGCCTTCAAGGGGTTTGAAAATTATCGACATAACAAACTTTCAAATTGCACTGGCTTGTAAAACATTTTATAACAAATTCGTGTTTTTAAAGGGATTATTAACATACCAACTTCAGTAGGGTTAAGCAACACTACAGTACATGTAGTAGTAGCCAGCACTATGCCCTCTGGTGTGTAGTCTCCCAGTTTCTCACACTCCTGGCCAGCCAGCTCACACGACACATCTACATATACACCCTCTTGGCCCACTGAAGGCCAGTAGCGGACTGTACCCTCAGGAGAAACTCCAATGCAAGATGGCATCTGTGAAGGTACAAGTAAAACAATCAAAATAAAATTATTAAGTAACTAAAAAAAGGAGATTTGAACTATGAATATAGTCTACACTAATATTATAAAGAAGAGGAAACATAAGATAATTTTGTTTTGTCTGTTTTGAAACCACTATATAATATAAGGATAAGATTTCAGCGCAAAAATATTAGCGTAAATCAACCACTAATTAAAAAAAAACTATTTCTCACTAGTGTATAACATGTAGTAATGGGATTGGGATTAGAGCAACTTTATGAGTATGTTTGTAGAAAATAATATTATTATAAATGTTTTTTTCAAAACACTTGTGTGGAAATTGTTGAGATTATTAAACCTAACAAAATGCTAATTACAAAATTAAGTTATTTTTAAAGTTAATAATGGCTTTTCAGAACATCACTTCTTTTCAAAACAAACGACACTACATTTAAATTTTAAGAATTGGTTTGTGATGTTTATATAGAGTTGCCAGACCGCTGGAAAATCTGGGATTGCCCAGGAATGTTTTGGGACAAGAGGTGTCCCATATCCAGTAATTAACACATATTGTCCCAGATTTTTAAGACATACTTTTTTTAATAAAATAAATTAGCAATGAATCATGAATTGGTAAAAACAGCTACCGGTGAACGAGTTCAGGACAGGCGGGAGTGTTTACATTCGTATTAAAATGTCAAAAGCTGGACTTCTTTTTTAGATACATTGTTCCTTAAATTAAGCAAGTTGTAACAAGGTGTTTTGAAAAATAATGTAAATATCAAATACAAATTCTTTAAAAAAGGTATACTTAAGACATATTTAATGGAAATGACCATGCCCACAGATTTCATAGCTTACTGTCTAGCAACCCTATGTTTAAAATGTACGTCATATTTTGAAATGTTTCTTTGCATGATCATTTATGCGATGAAAGTAGAGATGTGTGCGTAACTAAACCTAAGAGGCTTATTATGGAGTGATATATCTGCTGGAAATAATATGTAGTATAAGGCAAAAATATTGGATATAAAGTAACCAATGTGATCTAACCTGAGCTCCTGCAGTATAAAAGAGCACAACTAAATCAGCTTTATGTGCTAAATCAGTTTGTGGCAGCGACAGTTCCCGAGCCACCGTGCTAGTAGATACTGCGGCGGCATTGCTGGACGAGGAAGAGTTGCGCGGCCACGCTATGATGCGGCGCCCCGACACCACCCAGCACCAGCCACACGCAGATAGACGCACACTGACCTCACCACTTGCTACAAAATACACAATTACTATTATTTACTAATTCATTCCCATTAAACAATTTAATGTGAAAAGATATGCAGATACGTAAAGTTTATTTCAACACTAAGTTTCTTGTGATTAGGGAATTTTGCAGTTAAACTGTACTTACCAAATGTTAAGGCTTCTGTGACCATCACAGGGAGGGGCATTCCGTATGTTTCTATAGTCGTTACTGGAGTTTTGTATACTACATCACCAGTTGGCTCACCCGGAGACTGCATTGATTTACTGTAAGAAACGTATTGTATTTAATACTTAGATTTTATAATAATATTCAAAGAAGGATAGGTTATGCACAAACCTTTGGTTCTTTTTCGCTGACGAAAGCGAAATAGGCCTTCGTCCTGTGATGGACTGCCTCACCCGAGGTGAAAACGGACTCCTCATTGCACCTGTGGTATTATAATCCATTACGTTTGATAAAAATTTCAAATAAAAGAAACGTAAAATAACCGAATCGCACGGCTAAGATGATTTTAATTCGAAACGTCAAAATCGTCAAACTAAAACAAGATCAATAAAACGTTTCATTTAACGTATATTCCGAAGGATTTTCCTACCGACTAAATTTAATTTAATTATTTTACTTAGTATATATTACAATCGGTTGTCAAACTAAATGAAATTAATTCTTCTTTCTGAAAAAATAATCGATAGTCATAAGCAACAGCAAAAAACTAAAGGATTCTCATTTATCACGTCTTCTCCAGAGTGATTTATGTAATGAAACGGAGCGATGCAAGCGAACGTCAATTATACAACGAATGTCAACATTCAACAAACTTGTAATTTTCAACGGTTACCGATTGACCGTTCCCGGTTTATGGAATTGTATTTTATTGTGTTGATTGATCATAAAGTGCGATATAGCCAATAATCCGTTGTCACATGCAAATTGATATACATCAAAATGCATATCAAGTCAATAGTGTTAGATGGTTTTAAGTCATATGGAAATCGTGTAGAAATAAATGGTTTTGATCCCGAGTTCAACGCTATTACTGGTCTGAACGGCACAGGAAAGTCAAATATACTGGATGCGATATGTTTTGTCCTAGGAATCTCAAATTTGACGAACGTAAGTGAACTTTTCATGTATTAATTGTGTCTGTGTTGGTTAAGTTTTTCCCGCCAATATAAATTTGGTGTCCTTGTGTCCTATCATAATTTATAGTTTTAGTGTAGGCAACCCGCAACAGCTCAGTTTGTCGAGTGGTTCTATGTGAAATCTCCAAAAAAAGATGATTGAAATTCCATCATTTAATTTTGAGGAACTATTCAAATACAATTTCAACCTTAATAAGTGGAGATAAAATGTGAATACTTCACTATTTATAACTCATCTTATCTCACACCTTTGCTGTTTACCTCTTCACCTTGTAAGCACTTCTGACCAAATGTAACTGAAGCATGTCAACAACACTCAACACTTAACTATAGCACTGGTCCTGTTTAATTTGTACCAGGTGCTTGCTTTTAATGTTTTTCTGGATTTATTTATGTATAATAGTAATAAGTTTATAATTAAAGTTGTTAAAATTGATTTTAAGCAATTTTCGTTTCTGAAAAACAAACAGGTTATCCCTATAATGCATAACTTCAAAAGTACCTAGGTATTTGAAGTTTAGTTGGAATAAATGTTTTGTAGACTGCAACAGTGATTTATTACTGTTTAAGGTGCGAGCAGGCAGTTTGCAAGATTTGATATACAAACATGGCCAGGCCGGTATTACCAAGGCTACTGTGAGCATCACATTTGACAACAGGAACAAGGACCAGTGTCCCATCGGCTTGGAAAATAATGATGAGTTCACTGTTACTAGACAGGTACCCCAATCACAATTTATGATTCCATTCTACATAGATTGTTTACAAACATTTTTTCAAGTCCAAAGTAATAGAAAATGCGAAGGTCCTAAAACATAATGAACTTAATTTTAAAAATATTGTTTGTTTAAATGAGCTCAAAATTGCTTCTCTCTGTCTTCATAAACTCTATAATTTAATTTTTAGACCTTGATATATTGCATATAATTACAGTTTCATTAAAATAGGATAATTAGTTTTCAAGATGTTGGACTTGAAACCAATGGTACAGTAACTCTTTAAGTCATCTTTTTTTGTGATTTTAACAATTTTATTATAATGGTTTTGTACTACAATATAATACTATTGTGTTATTTCTGCCATCAGATTGTAATGGGAGGCAAGAACAAATATTTAGTGAATGGTCTCAATGTTCAGAACAAGCGAGTGACTGATATGTTCTGCTCAGTGCAGCTCAATGTAAACAACCCTCACTTCCTCATCATGCAGGGCAGGATCACTAAAGTTTTGAACATGAAACCTCCTGAGGTAAGTTCTTATAGGTCAAAAATATTGACCCACTCAATTTTTTTAAGAGTATCATATTTATTTCCTATACATTCCTTATTATGATTTGTCTGTTCCATTGTAACTTCATCTCATTGAAAAATTTTGTCTGTGGTTATCAATCTCATTTGCCATTGAAATAATACTTGGTTCAATAGAATATCTGTCATTGTTTTCAGATTCTGTCAATGGTTGAGGAGGCAGCTGGTACAAGAATGTATGAGACCAAGAAGCAAGCTGCAGAGAAGACCATTGAGAGGAAGGATGCTAAACTCAGAGAACTTAATGAAGTATCTACCATACTTTGTAGGTGCAATACATTACTAACATAATACATCTCATCATATTTAATAATGAATCTTGTTTCAGATTATAAGAGAGTCTATAGCTCCAAAACTACAGAAGTTACAAGACGAAAGAGCACAATTTCAGGAATATCAAAAAGTTGTAAGGGAGCTCGAAAATCTCACTCGGTTGCACATAGCTTACAAGTAAGATGTCATTATGTTCTTAATCATTATTGTGTTTTTTTGGAGTCCCAATCCATATTAGTATGTGAGTACCTATTTAAACTATATATTATTGTATGTTTGTAGTTATGTAACGGCAGAAGAACAAACTAAGGAGGCTGAAAGTAAACTGGCTCAAGTGAAAGATGAAATAAAAAGTAAACAAGAGCAAATAAAACAGAATGAGGCAGATGTGACGGATTTTGAAAAACAGATATCTGAACTCAGTAAGAAGGTGGATGAGGTATGTGGTTTTAGTTTTTAACTGATTGTGGGAAGAGCTTTGTCAATTGCACATATGTATTTATGTATTCATCTCAATGGGTGTGTCTAAGAGGAACTAGTGATGTGTTGTGTAGCAGATAGGTATACCAAAAGGCTAGACAAAATGGTAAATGCTATATGATTACTTCCAAAATGCTCATAGTGGTAAATGCTATATGATTACTTCCATAATGCTTATAGAAGTGTATTATAGCTGACAGATCGCCTGACCATATCATCCGCTCTCTAGCTCTCGATAGTCGGCCACGTAAATGCGTATTATTAATATTTGTTTAATTACTGCTGTTATACTTTGAAAGTCACTATTTCGCCTTAACTGAGGTAAAACAATTTTTGAATGCTTTCGTCATCGTCAAAAGTCAGTTCAATGAGTAAGAAATATAATTCTTTCATTCCTGGTCAGCAATAAAAAGTAAAATTATTGGACACCGCACAACACGGAAAATTTCGTTACAATCTCTAAAATCCCAGGTATCTGATAAGCTATGTGTTGCAGGAGAGCGGCGCGGCGCTGCGTGCGCTGGAGGCGGAGCTGAGCGAGCTGGGCGCGGCCGACGCGGGCGCCGCGGCCGACGAGCGCGCCGCGCGGGACGCGCTGCACTCGCACTCTGCGCGCGGCCGCCTGCTGGCGCGCGCGCTGGCCGACGACGAGGCCGCCGCCGCCGCCAAGCGCCGCGCGCTCGACCAGGTCCGTGCTGCTGCTTCGCTGCGCCCGCGCCTCCTGTACTCGTTAGACGTATCTAGCTGTTATTTTGCCGACAGGTAGAGAGCACGTTCGAGAGTCTGCGGGAAAAACATCAGAATAGTACTGCCGTTCTCGCCGAAGCCCAGCAGAAATTTTTAGAAGTCAGTAGTGGGCTCGAAGGGGCCTCGGAATCTCTGCAAGATCAATTGATGGGTTCGTATCCGTGTATTGAATTCGGTGTCCTATTATGACTACTGTTTATTAGGACGCAAGCGTTCGGTGTGTATAAAATAATAACATACTTGTTATTTTTTCTTACCTCAGCTGCTAAACAAGAAGCATCCGAAGCGGCGACACGCATCTCGCAGAGTGAAATGGAGAAAAAACATGCAGAGAATCGGCTGAGGGCATTAGAGAGAGAGTTCGACAGTAGCAGCGCGCAGTTCCAACGCGACCAGGAGAACATCGGCCGCCACGAGGCGCAGCTCGCCGAGTTACAGGTAAGAAAGGGCGCGGGGTGGGGCGGGGCGGAGCGGGGCTCGGCGTAGGGCGGGCGGACAGTGTAGCGTGCGCGTGCGCAGGCGGAGCTGGCGCGGCTGGGCGGCGCGGCGCGGCGCGAGGCGGACCTGGCGGAGGCGGCGCGCGGCCTGGCGCGGCGCGAGCGTGCGGCGCGGGACGCAGTGGACGCGCGCGCGCCGCGCCTGGCGCGCTGCAGGCTGCGCTACAAGAAGCCCGAGCCGGGGTTCGACGACAAGAGGGTCTACGGTATGTCGAATGACTTTATACACTATCTTAACTACTCAACACCGTTCTTGACCGATTCTATTGGTTTCAGGTACGATTTGTAGATTGATAGACGTTGTCGACCCGATATATTGTACTGCCCTGGAAACTGCTGCCGGAGGACGGGTAAATGCTAAAATCAACTAATCTCAATATTGTGTGCAAATATTTGTCATTTTTGTATTGTATTAGTACGGTAGAGTCGTTAACGTAGTGCCCGTGTGCAGCTGTTCAACGTGGTGGTGGACACGGAGGTGACCAGCAAGCTGCTCCTGCAGCGCGGGGAGCTGGAGCACAGGACCACCATCATCCCGCTCAACAAGATCAGCGGACACGTCATCGACCGCGCCACCGTGCAGCTGGCGCAGCAGATCGTACGTCGCCACGGCCCCGGTATATGCTAGGCTCGGCCCCGGCGCGGCCTGACACGATGTGCTTGCAGGGAGGCGGGCCGGACAACGTGCAGCTGGCGCTGGACCTGGTGCAGTACCCGGCCGAGCTGCGCCCCGCCATGGCCTGGGTGTGGGGGGGCACGCTGGTGTGCCGGGACCTCGACACCGCCAAGCGCGTCACCTTCCACCCCTCCGTGCGGCGCCGGACCGTCACGCTGGACGGCGACGTCTTCGACCCCTCCGGCACGCTCTCCGGCGGTGCCCGCGTAAAGGTACGGGTCCACCGCCCGACTCCGTCGCATCCCTCCGGCTCGCCGTCGAGTTTCTGACCACGGTTTTGTTTGCAGGGTGGCTCGGTCCTAATGCAGCTCCAAGAACTGAAGCAGTTGGAAGAAGAACACAAGGCGATCAAGGAGCAGTTGTCGCAGTGCAACGAAGAACTGAAGTCATTACAGCAAGCTGGCGAAAAGCATACTAGTGCCCAGCAAAAGTAGGAATATTATTACAGTGAAATAGAACGACAACAAAGTGCAGCAACAGTAAACGACATCCGCGTGTGGCAGGTTCGACGTGATGTCCCACGAGCTGGACGTGATCAAGGCCCGGCTGGCCACCACGTCGCACGCGCAGACGCACGAGGAGATCCAGAGCCTGCGCGCGCGCGTGCAGGAGCTGGGCGCGGCGGTGGCGCGCGACGCGGCGGCGCGCGACCTGGCCGACGCGCGCGCCCGCGACCTCTCCCTCAAGCTGCGCGACCTCAAGGGCCACCGCGACAGGTGCGGCCGCGCTCGCTTGTTGCCCTCTGCCCGCGCGCCGCCACTAACGCATTCTCTTGCATCACAGGGAGTTCAAAAAAGCTGAAGAGGCCCTGAAGAAGGCTAAAAAGGAAGCAGAACTCCACAGCAACTCTTGGAAACAGCACGAGCAGGAGCTGGAGACGTTGAAGCTGGAAGTGTCGGAGCTGGAGAAGGCCGTGGCCGCCAGCAAGCTGCAGCTGGCCGACAACGGCGCGGCCGCCGACCTGCTGCAGCGCAACCTGGCCGCCGCCGCCCAGCTCCACGCCGCCGCCTCCGTACGTACTGCGCTACACCTGCGCTACACCTGCGCTACACCTGCGCCGCCCGCATCTGCCCACCGCTCCTTGTGTTTCATATAATTTTATATACTCATTTATAGAGTGCAGTAAAAGACATGCAGTCGCGGATAAAAAGTCAAAAGGCGGAAATAGCGAGCCGCAACACGGAGATTTCACGATTATTGCAGAAGAAAGAAAAATTGCGCAAAAACAACGGCGAACTCGAGCTCAAGATACAAGAGTTGGAATACAAACTGAACGAACTACAGACCGAGGCCGCCGAACTGCGCGCTAAGGTAAGCGCCAATCTATCGGAGTCAGTGCAATTTTATTTTGTACGAACTACAAAAATGTGTGAAAACTAGGTGTGAACACGTAAATTTACATATGTACTGGGATAACGATCACATGGTGTTCTTGCAGATTACCAACTTGGAAAAAGCGAACCCATGGATCAGCTCGGAACGGTCGTACTTCGGCGCGCCGGGCGGCATCTTCGACTTCCAGGCGCGGCAGGCCGGCGCCGCCGCGTCCCGCCTGGCGCAGCTGCAGGCGCGCCGCGACGGCCTGGCGCGGGGACTCAACGCGCGCGCCCATACCTTGCTCGGCAAGGAGGAGGAACAGGTACTCCGCACTACCACTGGCCCCTCGCTGTACTCACCTTGCACATGTACTACAACGATCATTTTGGCAGTACCAAGAATTGCTGCACAAGAAGCAGATAGTGGAGGCAGACCGGGCCAAGTTAGTGGCCGTGATGGCGGAGCTGGACGAGAAGAAGAGGAAGACGCTGGTAGCAGCGTGCGAGCAGGTCAACAAGGACTTCGGCTCCATCTTCTCCACTCTGCTGCCCGGAGCTGAAGCCAAGCTCACGCCGCCCGAGGGCCAGACCGTGCTCGACGGACTAGAGGTCACTACTGATTCATTTATAACTGACTTCATTGAATACCTTAATCTTAGCTGTCGCCTAACACTATACGATCACAATACAGAATAGGGATGATGGGTGTTTTTTAAAAATGTCTGTCATTTAGGTAAGTTAGAAACGTTAGTATTTTTTTGAGTGTAATTAAATATATTCAACGATACATTTATCTGAAATGTCGTGCGTGTGATGTCATTTCTACATGTTTTCTATACTTAGAAACAAAGTAACTCACTCCAATTCCTGAACTTAGACTAGTTTTATCTAAGTGTTATAATACGAAGATGCAAGCCCAAATATCTATTTGACAGAATACATAGTTTTTTTCTACATTGTCATCATTCCTACTACAAGGTCAAGGATTTTAAAAACTTTAAACGAAAAAGGAGAAAAGCATCAGGATATTCCAAGTAAGGATTCCGTCGTTTAGCGGGCACGTACGTGTGTACTCAGGTGAAGGTGGGCTTCAACGGCACGTGGAAGGAGTCGCTGGGCGAGCTGTCGGGCGGGCAGCGCTCGCTGGTGGCGCTGTCGCTGGTGCTGGGCATGCTGCGCTGGCAGCCCGCGCCGCTCTACGTGCTCGACGAGGTCGACGCCGCGCTCGACCTCTCGCACACACAGAACATCGGCCTCATGCTGCGCACGCACTTCCGCCACTCGCAGGTACTCTCCCCCCACCCACTCCCTCCCCCACTCCCCCACACAGACGCCGCGCTCGACCTCTCGCACACACAGAACATCGGCCTCATGCTGCGCACGCACTTCCGCCACTCGCAGGTACTCTCCCCCCACCCACTCCCTCCCCCACTCCCCCACACAGACGCCGCGCTCGACCTCTCGCACACACAGAACATCGGCCTCATGCTGCGCACGCACTTCCGCCACTCGCAGGTACTCTCCCCCCACCCACTCCCTCCCCCACTCCCCCACACAGACGCCGCGCTCGACCTCTCGCACACACAGAACATCGGCCTCATGCTGCGCACGCACTTCCGCCACTCGCAGGTACTCTCCCCCCACCCACTCCCTCCCCACTCCCCCACACAGACGCCGCGCTCGACCTCTCGCACACACAGAACATCGGCCTCATGCTGCGCACGCACTTCCGCCACTCGCAGGTACTCTCCCCCCACCCACTCCCTCCCCCACTCCCCCACACAGACGCCGCGCTCGACCTCTCGCACACACAGAACATCGGCCTCATGCTGCGCACGCACTTCCGCCACTCGCAGGTACTCTCCCCCCACCCACTCCCTCCCCCACTCCCCCACACAGACGCCGCGCTCGACCTCTCGCACACACAGAACATCGGCCTCATGCTGCGCACGCACTTCCGCCACTCGCAGGTACTCTCCCCCCACCCACTCCCTCCCCCACTCCCCCCACACAGACGCCGCGCTCGACCTCTCGCACACACAGAACATCGGCCTCATGCTGCGCACGCACTTCCGCCACTCGCAGGTACTCTCCCCCCACCCACTCCCTCCCCCACTCCCCCACACAGACGCCGCGCTCGACCTCTCGCACACACAGAACATCGGCCTCATGCTGCGCACGCACTTCCGCCACTCGCAGGTACTCTCCCCCCACCCACTCCCTCCCCCACTCCCCCACACAGACGCCGCGCTCGACCTCTCGCACACACAGAACATCGGCCTCATGCTGCGCACGCACTTCCGCCACTCGCAGGTACTCTCCCCCCACCCACTCCCTCCCCCACTCCCCCACACAGACGCCGCGCTCGACCTCTCGCACACACAGAACATCGGCCTCATGCTGCGCACGCACTTCCGCCACTCGCAGGTACTCTCCCCCCCCCACCCACTCCCTCCCCCACTCCCCCACACAGACGCCGCGCTCGACCTCTCGCACACACAGAACATCGGCCTCATGCTGCGCACGCACTTCCGCCACTCGCAGGTACTCTCCCCCCACCCACTCCCTCCCCCACTCCCCCACACAGACGCCGCGCTCGACCTCTCGCACACACAGAACATCGGCCTCATGCTGCGCACGCACTTCCGCCACTCGCAGGTACTCTCCCCCCACCCACTCCCTCCCCCACTCCCCCACACAGACGCCGCGCTCGACCTCTCGCACACACAGAACATCGGCCTCATGCTGCGCACGCACTTCCGCCACTCGCAGGTACTCTCCCCCCACCCACTCCCTCCCCCACTCCCCCACACAGACGCCGCGCTCGACCTCTCGCACACACAGAACATCGGCCTCATGCTGCGCACGCACTTCCGCCACTCGCAGGTACTCTCCCCCCACCCACTCCCTCCCCCACTCCCCCACACAGACGCCGCGCTCGACCTCTCGCACACACAGAACATCGGACTCATGCTGCGCACGCACTTCCGCCACTCGCAGGTACTCTCCCCCCACCCACTCCCTCCCCCACTCCCCCACACAGACGCCGCGCTCGACCTCTCGCACACACAGAACATCGGCCTCATGCTGCGCACGCACTTCCGCCACTCGCAGGTACTCTCCCCCCACCCACTCCCTCCCCCACTCCCCCACACAGACGCCGCGCTCGACCTCTCGCACACACAGAACATCGGCCTCATGCTGCGCACGCACTTCCGCCACTCGCAGGTACTCTCCCCCCACCCACTCCCTCCCCCACTCCCCCACACAGACGCCGCGCTCGACCTCTCGCACACACAGAACATCGGCCTCATGCTGCGCACGCACTTCCGCCACTCGCAGGTACTCTCCCCCCACCCACTCCCTCCCCCACTCCCCCACACAGACGCCGCGCTCGACCTCTCGCACACACAGAACATCGGCCTCATGCTGCGCACGCACTTCCGCCACTCGCAGGTACTCTCCCCCCACCCACTCCCTCCCCCACTCCCCCACACAGACGCCGCGCTCGACCTCTCGCACACACAGAACATCGGCCTCATGCTGCGCACGCACTTCCGCCACTCGCAGGTACTCTCCCCCCACCCACTCCCTCCCCCACTCCCCCACACAGACGCCGCGCTCGACCTCTCGCACACACAGAACATCGGCCTCATGCTGCGCACGCACTTCCGCCACTCGCAGGTACTCTCCCCCCACCCACTCCCTCCCCCACTCCCCCACACAGACGCCGCGCTCGACCTCTCGCACACACAGAACATCGGCCTCATGCTGCGCACGCACTTCCGCCACTCGCAGGTACTCTCCCCCCACCCACTCCCTCCCCCACTCCCCCACACAGACGCCGCGCTCGACCTCTCGCACACACAGAACATCGGCCTCATGCTGCGCACGCACTTCCGCCACTCGCAGGTACTCTCCCCCCACCCACTCCCTCCCCCACTCCCCACACAGACGCCGCGCTCGACCTCTCGCACACACAGAACATCGGCCTCATGCTGCGCACGCACTTCCGCCACTCGCAGGTACTCTCCCCCACCCACTCCCTCCCCCACTCCCCCACACAGACGCCGCGCTCGACCTCTCGCACACACAGAACATCGGCCTCATGCTGCGCACGCACTTCCGCCACTCGCAGGTACTCTCCCCCCACCCACTCCCTCCCCCACTCCCCCACACAGACGCCGCGCTCGACCTCTCGCACACACAGAACATCGGCCTCATGCTGCGCACGCACTTCCGCCACTCGCAGGTACTCTCCCCCCACCCACTCCCTCCCCCACTCCCCCACACAGACGCCGCGCTCGACCTCTCGCACACACAGAACATCGGACTCATGCTGCGCACGCACTTCCGCCACTCGCAGGTACTCTCCCCCCACCCACTCCCTCCCCACTCCCCCACACAGACGCCGCGCTCGACCTCTCGCACACACAGAACATCGGCCTCATGCTGCGCACGCACTTCCGCCACTCGCAGGTACTCTCCCCCCACCCACTCCCTCCCCCACTCCCCCACACAGACGCCGCGCTCGACCTCTCGCACACACAGAACATCGGCCTCATGCTGCGCACGCACTTCCGCCACTCGCAGGTACTCTCCCCCCACCCACTCCCTCCCCCACTCCCCCACACAGACGCCGCGCTCGACCTCTCGCACACACAGAACATCGGCCTCATGCTGCGCACGCACTTCCGCCACTCGCAGGTACTCTCCCCCCACCCACTCCCTCCCCCACTCCCCCACACAGACGCCGCGCTCGACCTCTCGCACACACAGAACATCGGCCTCATGCTGCGCACGCACTTCCGCCACTCGCAGGTACTCTCCCCCCCACCCACTCCCTCCCCCACTCCCCCACACAGACGCCGCGCTCGACCTCTCGCACACACAGAACATCGGCCTCATGCTGCGCACGCACTTCCGCCACTCGCAGGTACTCTCCCCCCACCCACTCCCTCCCCCACTCCCCCACACAGACGCCGCGCTCGACCTCTCGCACACACAGAACATCGGCCTCATGCTGCGCACGCACTTCCGCCACTCGCAGGTACTCTCCCCCCACCCACTCCCTCCCCCACTCCCCCACACAGACGCCGCGCTCGACCTCTCGCACACACAGAACATCGGCCTCATGCTGCGCACGCACTTCCGCCACTCGCAGGTACTCTCCCCCCACCCACTCCCTCCCCCACTCCCCCACACAGACGCCGCGCTCGACCTCTCGCACACACAGAACATCGGCCTCATGCTGCGCACGCACTTCCGCCACTCGCAGGTACTCTCCCCCCACCCACTCCCTCCCCCACTCCCCCACACAGACGCCGCGCTCGACCTCTCGCACACACAGAACATCGGCCTCATGCTGCGCACGCACTTCCGCCACTCGCAGGTACTCTCCCCCCCACCCACTCCCTCCCCCACTCCCCCACACAGACGCCGCGCTCGACCTCTCGCACACACAGAACATCGGCCTCATGCTGCGCACGCACTTCCGCCACTCGCAGGTACTCTCCCCCCACCCACTCCCTCCCCCACTCCCCCACACAGACGCCGCGCTCGACCTCTCGCACACACAGAACATCGGCCTCATGCTGCGCACGCACTTCCGCCACTCGCAGGTACTCTCCCCCCACCCACTCCCTCCCCCACTCCCCCACACAGACGCCGCGCTCGACCTCTCGCACACACAGAACATCGGCCTCATGCTGCGCACGCACTTCCGCCACTCGCAGGTACTCTCCCCCCACCCACTCCCTCCCCCACTCCCCCACACAGACGCCGCGCTCGACCTCTCGCACACACAGAACATCGGCCTCATGCTGCGCACGCACTTCCGCCACTCGCAGGTACTCTCTCCCCCACCCACTCCCTCCCCCACTCCCCCACACAGACGCCGCGCTCGACCTCTCGCACACACAGAACATCGGCCTCATGCTGCGCACGCACTTCCGCCACTCGCAGGTACTCTCCCCCCACCCACTCCCTCCCCCACTCCCCCACACAGACGCCGCGCTCGACCTCTCGCACACACAGAACATCGGCCTCATGCTGCGCACGCACTTCCGCCACTCGCAGGTACTCTCCCCCCACCCACTCCCTCCCCCACTCCCCCACACAGACGCCGCGCTCGACCTCTCGCACACACAGAACATCGGCCTCATGCTGCGCACGCACTTCCGCCACTCGCAGGTACTCTCCCCCCACCCACTCCCTCCCCCACTCCCCCACACAGACGCCGCGCTCGACCTCTCGCACACACAGAACATCGGCCTCATGCTGCGCACGCACTTCCGCCACTCGCAGGTACTCTCCCCCCACCCACTCCCTCCCCCACTCCCCCACACAGACGCCGCGCTCGACCTCTCGCACACACAGAACATCGGCCTCATGCTGCGCACGCACTTCCGCCACTCGCAGGTACTCTCCCCCCACCCACTCCCTCCCCCACTCCCCCACACAGACGCCGCGCTCGACCTCTCGCACACACAGAACATCGGCCTCATGCTGCGCACGCACTTCCGCCACTCGCAGGTACTCTCCCCCCACCCACTCCCTCCCCCACTCCCCCACACAGACGCCGCGCTCGACCTCTCGCACACACAGAACATCGGCCTCATGCTGCGCACGCACTTCCGCCACTCGCAGGTACTCTCCCCCCACCCACTCCCTCCCCCACTCCCCCACACAGACGCCGCGCTCGACCTCTCGCACACACAGAACATCGGCCTCATGCTGCGCACGCACTTCCGCCACTCGCAGGTACTCTCCCCCCACCCACTCCCTCCCCCACTCCCCCACACAGACGCCGCGCTCGACCTCTCGCACACACAGAACATCGGACTCATGCTGCGCACGCACTTCCGCCACTCGCAGGTACTCTCCCCCCACCCACTCCCTCCCCCACTCCCCCACACAGACGCCGCGCTCGACCTCTCGCACACACAGAACATCGGCCTCATGCTGCGCACGCACTTCCGCCACTCGCAGGTACTCTCCCCCCACCCACTCCCTCCCCCACTCCCCCACACAGACGCCGCGCTCGACCTCTCGCACACACAGAACATCGGCCTCATGCTGCGCACGCACTTCCGCCACTCGCAGGTACTCTCCCCCCACCCACTCCCTCCCCCACTCCCCCACACAGACGCCGCGCTCGACCTCTCGCACACACAGAACATCGGCCTCATGCTGCGCACGCACTTCCGCCACTCGCAGGTACTCTCCCCCCACCCACTCCCTCCCCCACTCCCCCACACAGACGCCGCGCTCGACCTCTCGCACACACAGAACATCGGCCTCATGCTGCGCACGCACTTCCGCCACTCGCAGGTACTCTCCCCCCACCCACTCCCTCCCCCACTCCCCCACACAGACGCCGCGCTCGACCTCTCGCACACACAGAACATCGGCCTCATGCTGCGCACGCACTTCCGCCACTCGCAGGTACTCTCCCCCCACCCACTCCCTCCCCCACTCCCCCACACAGACGCCGCGCTCGACCTCTCGCACACACAGAACATCGGCCTCATGCTGCGCACGCACTTCCGCCACTCGCAGGTACTCTCCCCCCACCCACTCCCTCCCCCACTCCCCCACACAGACGCCGCGCTCGACCTCTCGCACACACAGAACATCGGCCTCATGCTGCGCACGCACTTCCGCCACTCGCAGGTACTCTCCCCCCACCCACTCCCTCCCCCACTCCCCCACACAGACGCCGCGCTCGACCTCTCGCACACACAGAACATCGGCCTCATGCTGCGCACGCACTTCCGCCACTCGCAGGTACTCTCCCCCCACCCACTCCCTCCCCCACTCCCCCACACAGACGCCGCGCTCGACCTCTCGCACACACAGAACATCGGCCTCATGCTGCGCACGCACTTCCGCCACTCGCAGGTACTCTCCCCCCACCCACTCCCTCCCCCACTCCCCCACACAGACGCCGCGCTCGACCTCTCGCACACACAGAACATCGGCCTCATGCTGCGCACGCACTTCCGCCACTCGCAGGTACTCTCCCCCCACCCACTCCCTCCCCCACTCCCCCACACAGACGCCGCGCTCGACCTCTCGCACACACAGAACATCGGCCTCATGCTGCGCACGCACTTCCGCCACTCGCAGGTACTCTCCCCCCACCCACTCCCTCCCCCACTCCCCCACACAGACGCCGCGCTCGACCTCTCGCACACACAGAACATCGGCCTCATGCTGCGCCACGCACTTCCGCCACTCGCAGGTACTCTCCCCCCACCCACTCCCTCCCCCACTCCCCCACACAGACGCCGCGCTCGACCTCTCGCACACACAGAACATCGGCCTCATGCTGCGCACGCACTTCCGCCACTCGCAGGTACTCTCCCCCCACCCACTCCCTCCCCCACCTCCCCCACACAGACGCCGCGCTCGACCTCTCGCACACACAGAACATCGGCCTCATGCTGCGCACGCACTTCCGCCACTCGCAGGTACTCTCCCCCCACCCACTCCCTCCCCCACTCCCCCACACAGACGCCGCGCTCGACCTCTCGCACACACAGAACATCGGCCTCATGCTGCGCACGCACTTCCGCCACTCGCAGGTACTCTCCCCCCACCCACTCCCTCCCCCACTCCCCCACACAGACGCCGCGCTCGACCTCTCGCACACACAGAACATCGGCCTCATGCTGCGCACGCACTTCCGCCACTCGCAGGTACTCTCCCCCCACCCACTCCCTCCCCCACTCCCCCACACAGACGCCGCGCTCGACCTCTCGCACACACAGAACATCGGACTCATGCTGCGCACGCACTTCCGCCACTCGCAGGTACTCTCCCCCCACCCCCACTCCCTCCCCCACTCCCCCACACAGACGCCGCGCTCGACCTCTCGCACACACAGAACATCGGCCTCATGCTGCGCACGCACTTCCGCCACTCGCAGGTACTCTCCCCCCACCCACTCCCTCCCCCACTCCCCCACACAGACGCCGCGCTCGACCTCTCGCACACACAGAACATCGGACTCATGCTGCGCACGCACTTCCGCCACTCGCAGGTACTCTCCCCCCACCCACTCCCTCCCCCACTCCCCCACACAGACGCCGCGCTCGACCTCTCGCACACACAGAACATCGGACTCATGCTGCGCACGCACTTCCGCCACTCGCAGGTACTCTCCCCCCACCCACTCCCTCCCCCACTCCCCCACACAGACGCCGCGCTCGACCTCTCGCACACACAGAACATCGGCCTCATGCTGCGCACGCACTTCCGCCACTCGCAGGTACTCTCCCCCCACCCACTCCCTCCCCCACTCCCCCACACAGACGCCGCGCTCGACCTCTCGCACACACAGAACATCGGACTCATGCTGCGCACGCACTTCCGCCACTCGCAGGTACTCTCCCCCCACACACTCCCTCCCCCACTCCGCCAGTCACCGCTCCCCTCGTGTTGCAGTTCATCATCGTGTCGCTGAAGGACGGAATGTTCAACAACGCCAACGTGTTGTTCCGCACTCGCTTCGTGGACGGCATGTCCTCCGTGCAGCGCACCACCAACGTGCCGCGCTAGTGGGGGGCCTCGACGCGACACCGACCCCTGGCCCACTGTCTACGGTCAAATTGTGAAGAGCCCAACAAGGTAGTATACGTATTGGGAGCGTTTGAGCGGTTCACTAGTTTTCATATACACTATAAAGTCACGGGTATAATATCGAATTCATGAAATGAAAATGTTTTTAGACCTTGTTGTTTGTGTTGTATATGAACACAAAGTTTTAATAAAATCGATTCAGTAGTTCATACTTCATAATATCAAACTTCAAAGTTTTTATGGAATCCGTAACCGCGTCAACGCTTTGAGATACCATGTTAAATGGTGCCGTACCCGCTTAAACTAACTCGAGGAAATTCGTTTATAAGTGGTACTGTATAAGATTCTTTGGTAAGTAAGTAAGTAAGTCACCTGAGAAATGTGCCTTATAATCTGTAAATTAATTAAAGTTTTAAATTAATTCGTAACCTAAGACTAGTATTAGCTACATGTTTTTCATACGTAAGTTGCCTAGTGTGTAGTCTACATTACTCGTACATATATCAAAATGTTAGTAACACAGCTAATAAAAATGTAATGAGGTGTAATACAGTTTTAATGTATTCTTGTATCATAATAAAAGTTATTCATTTAAATTTGTCTTTTTGTTTATTGTGTGGTTTGTTTAGAACCAGCCAGCTATATACGACACAAGTATTAGAATGCAGTTAGCATACAAGGGCATTACTCCGTAGGTGCTAATGGTCAGTTGATAGGTCCCCGAGCCATCTGCGAGCGAGTAGTACTTGGGGCGGCCGCCACCGCGGCGTGTCCAGTGCTTTACATACATATGTACAAATATCGCTACTTTAACCCGATGTGGTTAAACTTACTCATCTGAATATTATTTAATTGTCTACTTGACAAGTTTTCATTGTTTTCGCACATATAATAATGAAAGAAATAAGATATCTATTTATAAATAATATGTAAGCGAGTTTATCGGATTCCCAAACTGCACGGTTGGTGCGGTGGCAAATGGCTGCTGTGTTAGTGTTAGTTCGATTCCCGCACGTCACAACACTTTGATCCACAAATTTTTGTTTCGGGTCTGGGTGTGATGTGTATGTGAAATTGAATGTTTAAACACACAAACGACACAGGAGAAATTCTTAGTGTGGGGCAATGTTTTATATTAAAGAATGAAATAAATAAAACCTCTAATTCCCCTCTCCATCTAATTCCTAAAACCCCTCATCATCATCAGCCCATAAGTGCCCACTGCTTTGAGGTAGGTTTGAGCAGCAGAAGACCTCCCCGTGCGTTCCGCGGCTGCTGGTCCCTTGCGGATACGTCCGGGGGGAAGAGCAGTCGTTGGACCGGTGCACCCTGGGTACGGACAATAATCTCTTCGCGTAAGCCAGCGTAGAGGAGCATTATTGTCCGGAGCTAACTTCTGCAGGAGGGGTCGCTCCTGCCCCGTCGACGTAGTTGATTAGGCAAGGACGCGGCCACACCCGCTTCGACGCAGGCGCGTCAATGCGGGGTTCGTTTGTTTTCCTCATTCATTGAGGAGCAAACCTTTCGGCGGGTCCGCTGAGTCGGGTTGGCCGGACAGCGGACGGAGGCATGTCTCAATGCCGCCGTCGGGGGGCTTGGCTTTGCCGCCCGGCCCTAGAGGAAGGACACCTCTAAGATAAAAAACCACCCAATCCCAAGTTTCGGGAGCGCGGCGAGGGGATGAATGGCCGTTGGGTGTACGGTCGTTAGCGCTCCCACCTGCTGGTACCTGCCGCCCCCAGCAGTATGTAGGCTTACCCGGGTACCTAAGCCTCTGCCCGGGGTTGACCATTACTTGCTTTGTACTCGTGGGAACAATATGGAGACCCTAACAAATAAAATAAAAACAAAAAATGACGAGGTAGGTAAAACAGTACCAATGGTACTAATTGAGCGGAAAGGAGTTCTGTCGGACTCAGATAGTGCGTCGAGTATGAGTGTGATGAGCGCGGTGAGCGGTAATTTAAAACGCTTACGCAAACGCCCAAGAGAAGGTGCAGACTCAGGGTCGGAATCGGCCCTGAGCGATACAGCGATGCCGGCTCCTAAGGTCGGTGCTAAAAAAGGAGGAAGAGGTAGGCCCGCCACCACCGGCAAATATGTTGGTGTCGGCCTATCAAGGCGTGAGGCTGCGGCTGCAGCGAAAGCCGCAGCACTCGCCGATAAATTAGAGGAGGATGAGCGGCAAATAGCGGCTCTGACGAAAAGAGTGACGGAAGGGAGAGTCACTCGCCTGTCGGAGTCCTCAACTGTCGTCTCGGATGTAGGAGTCGAGGCAGAAGATCTTCCTGCCTCCGACCTAAACCAAAGGCTGGTTGACGCGGTTGCAGCGATCAGACAGGTGAGCAAAGTCTCGAAGGGCCTTAGCGGCTGCAGCAAGAAGGCACTTAAAGAGGCCACGGCCTCCATTCTGGAAAGTACTCAAGTACTTTTAACACGCACCGTTACGGAAGAGACGGCCCTGCTGCGGGCCCAGAACAAAAAGCTCGCAGCACAAATGGCGGAGCTCCGCAAGGAGCATGAGGAGCTCAAGGCCGAGATGGTAAACTTCCGCCGAGAGCACCTCAGGCAAGAAGTGGGCCTTGCGCTCCCGACGCAGCAACCGCAACCGCAGTCGCCGTCACAGGAGACTGAGTTGACTCGCCTGATCCGTAAGGAGATGGCAAGTTTTAACGCGCGCTTCTCGGTGCTGGAGGGGAAGATCCTGCGTCCACCCCTAGCTGCAGACCAGGGCCGCACTTCTTCGGCACCGACATATGCAGCCCAAGCTGCAGCGCCTCGTGCCGCCCAATCGGCACCTGCAGCGGGTGCCACACAGAAAAGGAATACCTCAACTGCCGCCTCGCAAATGAAATCTGCGGGGCCAAAATCAGATAGGCAGTCAGGAAAAGAAGCCAAACTGGCGGAAAAAACAGGTGCCACCGTCCGCCCAGTAACACGCGAGAATGGTACCAGACCTGAGTCGGAATGGAAGGTTGCGGGCGCTGCCAAAAAAATCAAAAAGGGCACGCCAGCGGGCCAAAAAGCAGGCCCAGAAGGTAGAAGCGGCTACCAAGCACAAGACCGCAAGGCTAAGTACACCCCGCTCTACAGCAGTGACTCTAACCCTGCAGCCAGGGGCGGAGGAGCGGGGCCTTACGTACGCTGGGATCCTGGCAAAGGCGAAAGCAGAGATCTCGCTTAGTGATCTCGGCATAACGGGCCTGCGGTGTAAGACTACCGCGGCCGGCGGTCGCTTACTAGAGATTTCGGGAGCCACGAGTGGGCCCAAGGCAGACGCCCTTGCCGATAGACTTAAGGCGTCTCTAGGATCCGAGGACGTGAGAGTGTCTAGGCCAACCAAATGTGCAGATCTGCGCATCTCAGGCTTGGACGATTCCGTTACGCAGGAGGAGGTCGCTGCTGCCATCTCCAAGGCCGGAGGATGCCCGCCGGAACAAGTCAAGGCGGGCACGATACGTCGGGGTGTCTCCGGTCTTGGGACAATTATCGTCAGCTGTCCCGTAGCGGCGGCCAAAAAGATTGAAAATAAGCGGCTCTTGGTTGGATGGGTCTCGGCGCAGGTCGCGTTCTTAGCTCCCAAGCCCTATCGATGCTACCGCTGTTTGGAAGAAGGACACGCGGGGGCACGGTGCACCGCGGGAGTAGACCGCAGCCAAATATGCTTCCGTTGCGGTCAACTCGGTCACAAAGCTAGCATTTGCATTGCCAAGCCGCACTGCGTCATCTGTGCGGCATCTGGCAAGCCAGCCGACCATCCGACCGGGTCAAAGGCCTGTGCCAGACCAAAGAAGAACAATGCCAGGAGACAGCCGGTTCATCCGCCGGCTAGTATACCGACTTTGACACAGCAGGCAACCAGCTCTTCGCAGCCGGTTCACCCGCCAGCTACGGCAAAACATCCGCCGAGGGCTGGGGAGGAGGTCATGACCATGGAAACTTAATAATGGCCCTACGTCGTCTCCTTCAAGCCAACATAAACCACTGCGCCAGAGCTCAGGATCTCTTGCTTCAGAGCATGGCGCAGTGGTCGATCGATGTGGCAGTTGTCTCCGAGCCGTATTTTGTGCCACCCAGGGATGACTGGGTGTGCGACATGAACCGCTCGGTAGTACTTATTTTGAGGTCTGCTGCCGACACCCTTCCCTTCGAGGCCGTCACCCGAGGGCGGAGCTATGTCGCGGCAGTTTGGGGAAATATCATGGTCGCGGGGGTGTATTTCCCCCCCAGCCTTTCTCTCGCCGACATGGAGGGTTTGATATTGGAGTTGGGCACGATTGTCAGTCGTAGTCATCCTCGTCCCGTGATAGTCCTTGGGGACTTCAATGCCAAATCTACGGCTTGGGGTTCCCCGGCTACGAATGCACGGGGCGAGTTAGTGGAGGAGTGGGCGGTCGAGCAGGGCCTGCTTCTCCTCAACCGGGGTTCCGTGCAGACGTGCGTGCGGCAGCGAGGTGGGTCTATAGTGGACCTGTCCTTTGCTAGCCCCACTCTCTCACGCACTGTCCAGGACTGGCACGTCTTGGAGGAGGTAGAGACGCTGTCTGACCATCGATATATTCGATTCAGCGTCTCTGCCCAGACCTCGGTTGGACCGGTCCAAGCGACCCCGGTGGGCGTTGGAGATGGTCCGCGTTGGGCGTTAAAGCGGTTGGACAGAGAGGCTCTCTTGGAGGCCTCTATCGTCAAGGCCTGGTTGGACTCTCCAGACAGGCCAACCAACATCGACGAGGAGGCGGAGTGGTTCCGGGAGAACATGTCGCACATCTGCGACGCTGGCATGCCCCGAGTCCGGCCGCTACCATCCAGGCGCCAAGTGTACTGGTGGTCGCACTCGATTGCGCAATTGCGCACCGCTTGTGTACAGGTGCGACGCCAGTACGCAAGGTACCGAAGAAGACGCCGCCGCCCCTTTACAGCTGCGGCCGAACAGGAAGAGGCGGAACTATACAACCGCTATAGAGAGGCGAAAAGCGCCCTCCAGCTGGCCATTGTCCGGGCAAAGGCCCAGGCCAACGTAGAGCTGTTGAGGACTCTGGACCGAGATCCGTGGGGACGCCCCTACCTCATGGTACGGGGCAAATTGCGCCAATGGGCCCCCCCATTATGCCGGAGTCTCCAGCCACAGCTGCTGGAGGAGGTGGTGTGTGCGTTGTTTCCGTCGAGACCGGAGCACACACCACCAGCTATGGTTCCGCCTCGTAATTCGCCCAACGCGGATGAGACTGACGAAAACGTGCCCGAAGTGACCCGGGT